TTCATACTTCCTACATTCCATGTTCCGATGATTAATGGATGTCTGCAGCTGTTTCTCTTCAATTTGAGTGGTGCCACATCAGCAAATGGAGGTCTTGAAAGCTTTACCTTATCCATATGAGTAAGGCTGGGTTTACTTAGATGATGCAGCTCTTTCCTATTTTGAGAGCCTTCTAATCTAACCGGACTATTCATAATGTTGCGCAGTAATGTATCAGTGTTTCTTTGCTATTCATAAGGTTTTCCCTGGCCAGTTATTTGAGAAGTGGACGGCCTCCTCCTTCTTCCTAGTCTGTCTCAGTCTGTAAGCTGGGCTGATACCTATGCACCATGTGTGTCCTGCTGGGTTAGGAACACCAGTGGCTCAGCCTCAAAACTCACATCAACACGTCACCACAGTAGCACAAACTGACAGACAAGTTTGCCTCTAATGTTACTTTAGCATATACTGTATTCACGTATATACTTGAATCTGTTTCTGGAGTTTAGTGTCTTCTGTCTGTTCCTTAGTGTGAGTGCCACAAAACCTAATTTTTGTTGGGTTGTTTCTTTTTGTTTACTTTGTTCAGAAATCTTGTTTGTAGTTAGAAGGTTAAGTGATGTATTCAAGTTTTGAATTGAGAAATGACTAAAAATGTTTTCTTTTTCATTGTAGTGCTGAACTTCAGACCCTCTTAATGAACCAGTTAACTGTCAAGGTGCAGTTAAAGTATCAATGTATTTAATGGCTGTGAACACATTCTTAATTGTTCTTTTTTGTCAGCATGGTATATTGTGTCCTCGTTGTGTGCTAAATGTATTTTCTTCTCTTATTAGGGCTTAAAAAAGCTTGGCCAATCTATAGAGTCATCATATTCCAGTATACAGAAGTTGGTGATAAGTCACTTACAGAGGTAGGAAGGTGGTGTAGTGGTTTTTGGTATTGCATTCACATGTACGTAGAGTCCTCTGATGTGGTGGCATTGGCCTTCTTTCCTCAACCTTTGCTTTATCATCTGGCATTCTCTTTTTGAACCTTAATCTGGTTAAAACTGTTGCATTGGCATTTGGGGGGAGCCTTGAAATGCCCAAGATTTAAAGAATCAAAATGGTGATAATGGTAATTCCAGTTTATAAATAATTTGCCAACCTCTCTATATCCTTTCCGGCTTTTTATGTTCACTGAAGGGTCCATAAGGTTTATTTTGAAGTAGGGCATCCTTTTTTGGAGGCAGTTGAAATTAATGTCTTTGTATATCAATTTACAATTCACAAAGCATGTATATATGTATATATGTATATGTGTGTGTGTGTATATATGCACGCACACACACATATATATGTGTGTGTGTGTGTATATAAATTCTCCCCCCCCCCTCATTCAACACCTTGGATGGTGTTTATTTTGATTAACCTCATTTTATACAAAAAGAAACTGAAGTTCAAAATGATTGTGTGGCTGGCCACAAGGTGGTTAGTCAGAGCTAACTAAGTCTTTGTCCTGGCTCCTCCAGCCCCATGCCATTCATATGCACAGGCACTGCAGTGAAGCTGTTTGCTAGTGAATGCTGAATGTTTGATTGTAACTCCCTGTGTGTCTGTGACTGTCTGCTCTCCCTTGACCATTGCAGAAGTCTCTTGGCTAGTCTCTCCTGTCCACACTCTGCCCCTCAACTATATTCTTGATTGGATCATCTTACTCTATTAAATCTTCCAATGCTTTCCCGTTGCTCTTTGGAACGAGACCAAAACCCTTTACATGGCTTTTGGCATATCTAGCTTGGCTTCACCCAAACTGGTGGCCTTTTACTTTCTCAGGTTTGACATTTTGTCTCCCCTTCCGGGCTATTGAATGCCCTCCTACCTTTCTGGAATACCCCACCCTGCTGTTCCCTTGCATTCTTGAGCTATCAGTTCAAGTACCATTTCTTCAGAGAAGCCTTCCCCAATCCCTCAGACTAGATCAGATTCTTCTGTTATGCCTTTACCCTGTGTGTTTCCTCCAAGGCATTTATTGTCATTTGAACAATATACTGTATGATTGTGTAATTATGACCATCTCTCCCTGCTAGACCATCAGTGCATGAGTAGGGCTCTGTTTTGTTCATTGTCATGTCCCCAGTGTCCAGCACAGTGCTTGACCTAAATTAGATGCTTAATAAATATTTTTTGAATGGGGAGAACGTAACTTTTGGGTGAACAAGATGAGCATATGATTATCTTAAAACACTGGGCGTGATTATATGTTATAAATTATTTCATATGAATTATTATTTGCTCTTACTATAAAATGTAATCATGTGGTCATATGTTAATCTCAATCATGATGATTAGATGATTCAGTTACAGTTTTTAGAAATAGTTTTGAGAAATAACTGTTTCATAGACATGAAAGTTACTTTAAATTTTGCTGAAATCTTCAGGCAAGGTAGTAATAAAGCTTAAATAAAGTAAAGTAAAGCTTGATGGTAGTAATGATACTGATTTTTTTTCTGCTCCATTTTGATAGTGGCTCAGAGTCTTTGTTGTACCATTTGAGCGAGTTGAAAGGAATGGCTTCCTGGAAGCAAAAATACGAACCTCTTGGACTAGATGCGGCAGGAATTGAAGGTAGTGATTTCATTTTTAAGTAGAATACATTAAATGCAATTGACTTTATGTGACTAGATACTTACTTACTTATTTTTTCTCCTTTAGAAGCTATTACTGCTGTGGGTTCTTTCATACTCAAGGCAAATGAACTTCTTCAGTAAGTATTAGGGACACCTGCAGTCTTTGACCTGGGCGTATTTCACTTCGTTTCTTTTTTAATCACAATTTAAAACATAATTTTCATATGGCAAATACTGAAAAGAAAATGAAAATCAGAAGGAAATATACCCTATGTCACCAGTGGTGGCTAAGTGGGATGAGGTGGTGGGGTAGGATCGCTTTACCCCTTTCAATAGATGTCTTCATTTTCCTTTTTTTTCTGTAACGTTTTACTGTGATTTAGGTGGAAGTTCATAGAGCAAATTGATTTTCCATGAAGCAATTCATACATGTTTTGTTTTTTAAGTATTTCACTTTCTACTTAAGAACCTGGCAAGTTGTTACAATTTTCTTAAAATAACTATTTTTATTTTTATCAAAATTTACATGATTAAAACAAGGCAGTAGCATAGAGCTCCTATTAAGTAAAGCATATTTTCTGGTCTCACCCATCCTTGGCCCTAGGTCCTCACCCCCTAACTAGAGGAAATCATTTTAACACTTGTGATTCATTTTAACTCAGTGTGATGTAGTGAGTTGCATGGTATGGCTTTTTTAGCCATAGCCATAGTAACTCCCACTGGATTAATGGGTGGGAGGGACCATGCAAATATGTGTCAACTTGGCTGCATAGCTGATAGTTATTTCCGATAATGAGACTGGCAATTAAGTCTGTGGTATGATTTGCCATGAGCAGCTGAGTAGCTGCTTTTAAACTCCTGACTGTTAAAGTCATCCACCTGCAGTATTTCTGTTGGAGCAGCACGAAGTACTCTTCTGGGAAAGTTCACTCTCTGCCAGGTGTGTAGGACTCTGATATTGGGATTGGTTAGTTTTGCTGCTCTGCCAGGTTTAAAATGAACCTTTCCTAGAGGCAGGGGGGATATGTCCCTTCCAGCTGAGAGAGACACCCAGCTGAGAGATGGCAGCAATGGAACCAAGAGGCACAGGAGACAGTGGCAGGCTTAACTGGCCCACAGAGGCAGAGGCCAGACCAAGAGGCCAAGGGCCAGAGAGGCATGTCTAAGAGCACAAAAGGGGAGACTGTCTTAATCAAAGAACTGTATCCTGAGTGTTCCTGAACTTGAATTATAGCCTGCTACTTCCTTAATAAGGCCCATAATCTGTGAGTTCTGTCTGGCTACTGCAGCTAATTATCGAACTCAACAGAGAGGTGTGGGTGCCACAGGAGGAATGGTTGGTGTCAAGGTTAGTGAGAGGGCTGGAGGGTGGCGTCATGACTGGCCTCGTAGGAACAGGTCTTGGGCTGCTGATGGTGATTCTGCCTTCTTCTTGTGTAGTTAGAGGAGGTCAGAAGTTGCTGCCTCCCTGCCCTTTTAGTGCTCGGTTTTCCTATAGTTTAACCTCCATGTTTCTAAACTATATGGTTATACTACCATTTCTTTTATTTAGCGATTTTTCTTCCTTGTATTTGTTTCTGTTTGTTTTGTTTTTACTAGATTCTTTTTTTTTTTCCTTCTTACATTGTCTGCCTTTATCATTAGGTATGTCTCAAGGGTAGTAGCATATTCCTAGAACTCACCTTTGAACAAGATGCCATCTTTAGTCTCCCTTCTCCTGCCTCTAAGGAAGTCTGATGTCTCGATAGTTAAGCACTTGGTTGCTGACTGAAAGATCAGCAATTCAAACCCACCCATAGCTCAGCAGGAGAAAAGCCTTGGTGATCAGGTCATAGAAAGATTTCAACCTAGGAAGCTCCCTGGGGCAATTCCACTCTGTCCTGTAAGATTACTATGAGTCAGAATTAATGGGCTGGCACAATTACAATAGCTTCTGCCTTAGTCTGGATAATCGTGCTCCAGAGCTTGTGCATAGCTGCCCTGCAGGATTCCTCTTTTTCATTGCTCTCATGGATTAGATCCAGAATTTATAAGTTCTCCTCTCTTCCTTGGTTTCTTTTGCTGGAAAACATCTCTAGTAACTTAACTCAGAAAGCAGATAAAACCAAAAAAACCAAACCTACAGTTAACAAGCTGATTCCAACTCATAGAGACCCTATAGGACAGAGAAAAACTGCCCCATAGAGTTTCTAAGGCTATGAGTCTTTACAAAAGCAGACTGCCTCATCTTTCTCTCATGGACCAGCTGGTGGGTTTGAACCAATGACCTTTTGGTTAGCATCTAAATGCTTTAATGACTGTGCCGCCAGAGCTCCTTAGAAGGCAGATAGGAAAGATAAGTTTACTATGTTGTTTTGTGTCTTTTCTCCTACCAATACTTCATTGAGACTTTTTAATTTTTTAAATCTTTTCATTGTCATTTGAGTGAAAGTTTACAGAGCAAATTGGTTTTCCATTCCACAGTTCATATACATTTTGTTTCACGATGTTGATCATAGTCCCCACAGTATAACAGCCCTTTTCCCACTTCTTCCCTGTGTTTACCTGTTTCTTTCTTTATTCTCTCTTCATGCCTTCTGAACTTTATCCCTGGGCAAATGCTGCCCTTTTTATCTTTTGTGGCTGATTGTACTAAGGAGTGCATAACTCCCTGGTGTTATCGTTCACCCCATAGGCCTGTCTGTTGTTTGACTGAAAGTTAAGTTGATGGGATGAAGTTCAGTTCCTGGTTTAAAGGGTGACTAAGGGCTATGGTCTTGGAGTTTCCACCAGTCTTTGTCAAGCCAGTAAACCTCTTTTTTTATGATTTTGAGTTGTGTTCCATATTTTTCTCCCACTCTGTCTAAGGCCGCCTATTGTAATCCCTTTCAGAGTGGTGAGCAGTGGTAGCCAAGCACTATCTAGCTCTTCTGGTCTCTGAGTCATGGAAGCTGAAGTCTGTGTGTCCACTAGTCATGTGGACTAACTGTTCCATGTGTCTTTAATTTTGTTCATTCTTCCTTCCTCCAGATGGGGAGAGACCAATATTTCCACCTTGTGTAGCCATTCTCGGGAGCTCTGGTGGTGTAGTGCCTAAGGCATTTGACTGCTAACCAGAAGGCTGGCAGTTCAAATCCACCAGCCACTCCTCAGAAGGAAGATTGGGC